CGACACCACCGACGAGGAAGCCGCTCCCTTAGCCGACTTAGGACGGCAAGCCGGAGTCCTTTTACTTCTTCCTTAGCCGGCTATAGACGAAGTTTATAACCGACGAGAAATAGGGCCTAAATAGCTATCGCGACATAGCGTGGTATTCGCTCCTCTATACGCTGCCGGAGCCCTAGATACGGCGGATCTCCGGATTCTAGGATAAGGGCGGCCCTAGTAGCAGACGCGACCTATAAGACTTCTTCTAATACCTTATATATACGTTCGGCAACGTGCAGGAGCGGGAGAAGGCGTAAGATAGGCTACGGACCCTTAAGCAGAGAGACGGATAAACCTTTAGCGAATTCCTTCCCGATTTCGAAGAGACGCTCTCACGGGCAGCGGGGACTACGGTATAGGAAGATAGCGCGAAGCTTATATAGCTACGGAATTCGATCACGCCGGCCCTACGGGAGCTGCTTATCCCCGTGATTATGCCTACTAACTACGGCGAGTACGTAAGCCGGTTAATAAAGGTGGCTTAGGGCTACGAGTAGACGCCGCGTTTCTAGAAGCTCCGTAAGCGCACGCCGTATAGCGGCGACGGGATCACCGCCCCTCCGTAAGATAAATAACCGGCTATCGACACGGACGGGGATACCCTAATATCGGCTACCCGCACGGACCGGGCTAGACGCGGTAAGAAGACGCCGTCGACCACCCCCTATACCGCCCCGCACTCTAAGCAGCAGGCGAAGTAGGTAACGAGCGAGGAAATCGGGAAGAGAAAGGCTAACGGCCGCTGCCTACGTTACGGAGTATCTACGCACTTTATATTAAAATGCCCCTTCTTTTTAGCTAAGCGGCCCGTGGCGGTTTAAGTAGCGAAGATAGAACCGCTCCTCGCCTTAGACGATAAGGAGGACTCCGCCCCCTTAGGCCCGGAGGAAAAAGAGTAGCTCCGGAGTAAAGACGGGCTCCGGAGCCCTAATTGCTAGCACTAGCAAAGGAGAAGGAAGAATTGTCCGCCCGTATAGAAGAGGAGCCTACTTTAATATAGGTTATAATTAATAACTCCTTGCCCGTTGCCGCCCTTATAGACGAGGGCTGCTAGTGCTACGCCGTAGTTAACGAGGCGCTTACGCGAGAGATATAAGTGCCGGTAGAAAAGATCGCCCTAAGGCGAGTAAAGGGCGCCTTAGGCGCGATAGAGGGTGCGGTAATTAGGGGCATTACGTGGCTGGCTATAGAGGTCGACGGTTGCTATAAGCTTATCGTGGCCTATATAATCCCCTAACTAGAGTTTCCCTTAATCCTCGGGAAACCCTAGTTATTATATATAGAGTTATACTCGGTTCCGTACTAGAGGAAGCTATAGTTTAGGCCTACGTAACGGTGGGTCCGCTACGACAATGGTTCCGTAGGCGTAGGACTAGGCGTGCGAGCTTTATGCTCGGTATAAGAAGTCCTTGCCTCTATCTTCGTAGGAACCGTGCGACGGGTAGAGCGGGGGCAAGGCCGGGCAGCGGCTAACGTAGCGGTCTACGTAGTTAGCCTAGTAGACATCGATAAGGCCCTCTAGACGAAGAAGCCGAAGTCGCCCTCTAAGCTACGGCAATAGATACCGGAGCGCTTTTACGACCTCCTACCGCTATTCGAGTCCTAGGAAGCGGATAAGCTTAACCCGTATAAGCTAGGGGTAGACTATAGGATCGTACTCCGCACCGATAAGAAGGGGCAGGAACTACCCGTACCGTTCGGACCGCTATATAGTATATTATACGCGGAGCTACTAGTGCTAAAGAAGACGCTAAGGGACCTCCTAGATAAGGGTTTTATTTAAGTAAGTAGCTCCGAAGTAGGAGCGCCGGTCCTATTCGTGCGTAAACTAAGGGGCGGGATACGGTTCTATTACGACTATAGGGCCCTGAACGCAATTACGAGGCCGGACCGCTACCCCTTGCCCCTAATCTTAGATACGCTCTATAACCTTTCGAAGGCGAAGTGGTTTACGAAGCTAGATATAAAATAGGCGTTCTATAAGGTGCGGATCTCGGAGGGTAACGAGTAGAAGACGGCGTTCTATATACGCTATAGCTTATTCGAGTAGCTTATAACGCCCTTCGGCCTCTTAGGAGCGCCCGCTACCTTCTAGCGTTATATTAATAACGTGCTTTAGGACTTCCTCGACGAGTTCGCCTTTATATACGTAGATAATATCCTTATCTATACGAGCGGCTCCTATAAGGACTATATACGGAAAGTGCGGAGGGTCCTAGAGCGCCTCTAACTTTATAGGCTCTACCTCGACCTAGATAAGTGCGAATTCGGGGTTAAGAGGGTTAAGTACCTAGGCTTTATTATCTACGTAGGCGTAGGCATATAGGCGGACCCTATAAAGATCTAGGCGATTCGGGACTAGGCTGCCCTAACTACGTAGATAGGCGTACGGAGCTTCCTTAGGTTCGCGAACTATTATAGGATGTTTATTAGGGGCTTCTCCTATATTATAATGCCCTTAAACGAGATTACCGGAAAGCGGACCGCCTTTCGCTAGGGGCCTATATAGGAAGGAGCGTTCCGCACGCTTAAGGACCTATTCTCTTAAGCCCCGGTACTGCTCTAGTAGGACTTCGACCGGTCTACGTTAGTTAAACCGGACTATAGCGGCTAGGCACTCGGAGGAACGCTCTCTTAGGAGGTAGACGGGCGGAAGTAACCGGTGGCATTCTACTCTCGTAAGCTAACCTTAGTAGAGCGGAATTACGCTATTTACGATAAGGAGATACTAGCGATTATTAGCTACCTCGAGTAATAGTAAGCGGAGCTCCGGAGCTATAAGAGCTTCGAGGTTCTTATAGACTATAGGAACCTCGAGTACTTTATAACTTGCTAGCACCTCTCGGAGCGGTAAGCCCGCTAGGCGGAGTATCTCTTACGCTTTAACTTCTCGATTAATTACCGCCCTAGGCGGGACTCCGCGGTCCTAGACGCGCTTTCCTAGAGGGATTAAGACCGGCCGACGGGAGCGGATATCGAGGCCCGGGATCTATAGCTTATCCCGTAGGAAGCACTACGGACTTATATAGGAGCTTCCCTAGTAGAGGAAGACGCGGTGCTAGCGAATAAGCTTCCCCCTACGCCCTTGCCTCGGTCCGGCGAGGAGGGATAGACCGGCCTAGGGGCGCGCGCGGCGAGAGTATTCTAAGATAAGGCCCTGCAACGCTTATAGGATAGGATGGCGGCTCTAGACCGCACCTACGAGGGCGTGCGCCGCGCCGTTAAGTCCGGCGCTCGACGCCTAGATCTAAAGCTAAAGCTAAAGGTATAGGTGGCCGACTGCTATATCGACCTACGGGGGCATCTACGCTAGCGGGGGAGACTATAGGTACCGGGCGCACCGTATACTACGGAAGCTAAGGAGAAGGAGGGACCGCCGGAGCTAGATAAACGGAACGAGCTCTAAGGGAGGCTAGTCTAACTTATCTATAACTCTAGCGTCGTAGGTCACCTAGGTAGATAGGGCATAGTAGTAGGCCTTGCGAGGGACTTTTACTAGCCCCTCCTATAGTACCACGTGCGTCGCTTCCTCCGTAACTGCGATATCTACGGCCGCACGAAGATCTAGAGGGCGCAGCTTAAGGGGCTGCTTAAGTAGCTTCCGGTGCCCGACCGGTTTTATATATATATATAGATAGACTTTATAACGGACCTCCTACTTATAGAGGGCGGCAACCGCTATATATAGGTAATTAAGGACCGACTTAGTAAGTCTATAGTATTAAAGCTAATACCGTCTATAGATACGGAATCCTACGTAGAGCGCTTCCTATAGTACTAGCCTCTATTATAAGCGATAGGGGATCGAATTAGACTAGCCGCTTTTAGTAGCACCTATGCTAGCTGCTTTAGATTACGTAGCTGCTTAGCACGGTATATTACCTATAGACCGATAGAGGGCCCGAGAGGGTTAACTAGGAGGCGTAGGCTTACCTACGGGCTATCGTGGCCCGCAACTAAGTAGACTAGGACCGGTGGCTCCCCGCGGCCTAACTTACGTTAAATAGTAGACTATATACCTCTATTAGGATAGCCCCTTTCTTTGCAACGTATAGCTTCGAACTACCCTTACTAGTTCCCTTTACCGTAGACGTAGTAGCGGAGTAGTATAGCAATGCGTTACTAGAGGGCCGCGCCTCCGCGTTCGTACGAAAGCTATAGGAGACCACGGATTATTGCTAATCCGCGATAGCCGCCGCGGCGTAAGATTAGGAGCGGCACGCTAATAAGACTAGGGCCCTAGTAGATAGGTTCGCGGTAGGAGATAAGGTATAGCTAGACCTCCGTAACTATAGGTCGGCACGACTAAAGAAGAAGCTTAACTAGCTATACGCGAAGTTTACGGTACGGAGGGTTATTAGCCCGTAGGTTATAGAGCTCGATAGTCTCCTAACGGGGGTCTATAATAAGATTAACATAGACCTCCTTCGTAGAGCCTCCTTTAACCCGCTGCCCGGATAAGAAGCAGCGGACGCTTAACCGCCCGTAATCGAGGTAAAGGGAGAGGATAAGTTCGAGGTCGAAGAGATATAGGCCGCGCGCTAGAAAAAGGTCGGTAGGGGGAAACGCCGGGAGGTCCTCGTTAAGTAGCGCGGGTATCTCGACCTTACGTAGGAACCTATATATAAGTTTACGGGAACCGTAGCCCTCGATAAGTTCGAAGCCTTATTCGGAACGGTAGACGAGAACGACGGACTAGCGGACTACCGATTGTAGCCTAGGCCAGGACCACGAAGTAGGCATAGCGGAGGGGGCAGTTACGGTAATATAGGCAATATAAGCGCAATAGTATAGGCGGAGACAAAAACAGCGTTTATTACGGGGCGGAGCCCCTAGACTACCCGGGCCTATTCCTTATCGTTATTATTATCTTCGTTATCGTCGTCCTTATCGGCCTCCTCCTTCTTATTAGCGGCGGCGGCGGTCTCTAGGGCGCTAAGGCGGCCCTCTAAGCCCGTAAGCTAGTCGGCGGCGGCGGCGGCTCCGGGGGCAGAGGGGCGGCGGCCAGCGGCGGCGGCAAGGGCAGCGGCGGTAGCGGAGGCGGGCACGGCTAAGGGGACCGCCGATAGGGCGACGGAGGTAGTGTCCCTGGCGCCGGGTGCGTTAGAGGCGGAAATAGGGGAGCGGAGGAGTAGGACTTACTTAGGCATAAGGCCCCATCGCTCGAGGGCGCGGAGGTTGCGGTAGGCGGCGGCGGCGGCGGTAAGGCGCTTCTTAGTAGCCCCCCGCGCTTGCCCGTGCGAGCCGGCCTTCTAAGCCGACGCCGCAGCGAGCAGGACGGGAGGCGCCGCCTTATAGGCGCGGCCGGCTCGCGCGCACTAGTAGCAGCTGCCGCCGCGGCGCGCCGGCCTAGTCGGGTAGTCGAGCTCCTGCGACGCACAACGCATATAGGGGCCGAGCGGGCGGCGCCGGCCTGCCAGCGCTTATGCTATAGGAGGTTAGCGGATAACGTCTATTACGCTTGCCTGATTACGGACTTACGGGGGTAGCGGAGACGGAGGCGGGGGCCGAGGGGCCGGGCGTCACGGGTGGCGGCGGGGACGGCGTCGTTACCCTAAGGGGCGACGTGAGAGCGAATAGCGTAGCAGAGGCGGCGGCGGCGGCGGTGGGAGCGGTGGCAGCGGCGCGGGTAGGAGCGGCGGCAGCGGCGGAGTCGTCGTCGGCCGCGGCTAGCACGGCGTCGACGAACGACTCCGCACGCTCCGAGAAGGAGGAGGTGGGAGAGGGAGAAGCGGATATGTCTATCGCGGAAGTTAGTACGACGGAATACGGCCTCCCGCTCTATAAGGCGCGGAACTTACTAGTTAGAGTTATTGTTGTTGTTAGGGCTATTATTGCTACTACCGCTACTACTGCGAGCATACGTTAATAGAGCGGCCTATATAGCTAGGAACGGACTAACGCCCTAGGTAGAGCGGAACTTACCTATTAATACTGCTACTACGGTTAAAGAAGAGAGAGAAGGAAGGGAAGGGGGAAGGGGGGGATGCCGCCTTATATACCCCTTAGTAGAGGATGCTGCCTAAGGCAGAGGGGACAGGCAACCTAAGGCTTACGCAGGTCTAGACTAGCCGCCGGCTACCTAGGGGCGTATATAATAGGTTACGCCCCTATTTAAACGGCTAGCCGGCCGACGAGTATAGAGCCGGGTCCTAGCTGCCCGGGCTAACGGGCGCGGGGATAATAGGGCTAGTAGGGCCGGCCCTATTAACGGGAAAGGGCAGGGAAGAGCCCGCGGCACGGGCCTAATTATACGGGAGCCGTTAATAGGGCAGCACTACGCCGCGCTCGAGGGAGGGCATTATATAAGAGTCTTTGACTATTGTAGGTGATAGGCTTAGGCCGCGGCCTAAGCCGTGTAGTTACGTGCGGAGGGCCGGATTCCGTAAGTATAGGGGCGGGCTAGCCGCGCATAGAAGAGCTCTATATAGCTTATTAATATTATCCTACGGACGGCACCTGCGCGCACGCCTCTGCCTACCCCGTGATAATTACTAATAGATTAATAAAGTATAAATACTTCTTACTATATAAAGAAGTAAGTAATATAAAAGAGCTAGTATATATATTCCTATAAATAATTATTAGTAATTATAGACTATTAAACGAGATTATCTTTAATAGAGGAAGTATATTTATAGCTAAATTTTAGTAAGCTCTTATTATATAATTAGGGATAAAATATAAGCTTAGTATAGCTTATTACCTATAAATAGATAGATAAATAAAACGACTTAACTAAACGCTTAAATAATATTTACGATACTATATTAGCTACGAATAAAACGATTAAGTTAAATAGCTACTAATAGCGTAACTAGCTTATAATAACTTAGTTATAGAAATAACTAAGCTCTTACTAGTATACGCTAATTATAGATATAACCTAGAAGTATTTAAGGTTACTTAATAAAGACTATAAGTAAAACGAGCGATACTATAAGTAAATTAGCTATAAAAATTATATAAAGAAATATAATAAGAACTTTAATTTATTAGAGAATAAATATCTACTTACTATAATCGGAAAAGATTATAGGGACTAATCTTTTAAGAGAGAGATATAGTCTACCTTATATAACGAAATATTAAAATAAAACGACTAAGTAATAAATTAGATTTTAAGAAACTTAGACCGTTTAAGGTTAAGAAAACTATTTTAAAAGTTAACTATAAACTTTCGCTACTAATAATAATATAGATATACCTAATATTTTATATCTTATTATTAGAACTAGCACTATAAAACGCTAAACTATAGGAAAAAATTAAAGTTAACGACGATTAAGAATATAAAGTAGAATAAATACTAAATATAAGAAAATAAGGTTAGTAATAAGAATACCTTATTAAGTAGAAAGGATATAGACTAAAGGAAAATACCTAGGAACTACTTAAGCACTTAACCTACTATAGCTCTTTACTTTAATAATTTTACTAGAAGGTTTAGGAGGGATTAAAGGGCTAAGATCTATAAACTCCTTACTAATACTAAACGAGGACTAATTCGCCTTATTAAGAACGCCTAACGATTATAAGTTATTTACTACTTAATACTTATATATATCGAGCGTAGGCAAAACGCTATCCTTAGTATCTACTTCTTAGATACTATAACGAAATAACTTAGAACTCTTTTCCTTTATACGATTCTAAATCTTCTAGATATAAGCTAAATAATTAATAGCGATAGATATTTACGACTAAAGATTTATAAGCTATGCCTAAAGCTCTAATAAGGCTTCCTTAGCTTCCTCCTCTTTAGAATATAGCCTATACTACTCCGCTAATAATTTAGTTACTAAAAGAAATACGTTAGCTACTATATATAGAAAAAATTAAAAGACACCTATAAAAAGAGGCTACTAAAACACTATTATAATAGGGACGACTACTAGCAATATAATTATTATAGCGCGAAGAATTTTCGGCTATCTAATAATTCGTCTTCTTTACTTTAAAGTATCGAGTATATAGTATATTAGTAGGATCTCTACTTAAGTCGATATATTTAGTAAGAGTAGCGCGCTTAAAGGCTTTTTAAGAACGATTTTTTAGTATACGACTAGATATACTATTAGTAGTATATCCCGAAAGGATAAAGAGATAAGGAACAATATACTTACGCACGACGCGATAAGGGTATATTTATATATAGCGGCTAAGGTAGCTATAGTAGGTCTTACGGATAAGACTAAAAGGAGGGGAGATATTATATTACGACTATAGCTACTAGGCCGCTAACGGTCGACCGTATTAAGCACGTAATACGGTCTAACGGATAAATAGTCGGCACGACTATTTAATAGATATAGGATCGAGGGGATTATAGAGATCTAAGTAATCTAGGATTAACGAGATTACTACGCTCTATACGATCTAACGTTAGGGATTATAGCTAGGCCTATAATCTAAGGATAGTCTTTATAGGTATATATAGCCACCTACTTTTACTTCTTTAAATAGATAGCTATCTAGCTTTTAATATAGATCTTTATTACGATTCTATCTTTAATTCTAATTACCTAATTATAGTCTATAGTTTATAACCTCTAACTTATTACTAACGTAATATACTTATTATTACTTAAACTACGCCCTATTATATCTACTAATATAAACCCCTTAATAGGTTTATCCCTTAGGAATAACACCGGTCGTTATATTTTCCCCCTTAGATATATAGCTAATTAAGCCTACTCCTCGCCCGCTACTAACGATCCCTTTAAATATATAAAGGAGCGAAAGACTTATAACTATACCCCCGCCGATAGCCCGATAAGAAGCTAGTAAGGAAGAAAGGTAGATAGCGCGGCTACTAACTTACCCTAGGACTCCGAAATTATTAGGCGCTTAGTTAATTACCCTAAGGCTAAAGACTTTAGTAATACCTATAGCGCGCCCTATTACTCCCTAGAAACAAAGTATAGTAATAGCCTCTCTAGCTATAGTCCCTATAAGGTTTATACTAGGCTTTAAACCCTCCTAGGTTAAAGGAGTTAAAAACCTAGGAATATATTAGAACTACCGCTAGGATATTAACGACTATAATTCTATATATTTACGTAAGACTACTAGCAACGCGATAATAACTAGTCTATAAGACTCTATAGCTTATCTAATCTAGCTATACCTAAAGCTATAGACTAGTAAAGATACTAACTACTTTATTTCCTTAACGCCCTTAAGAATAATAAGCGCGAATACTTAGGAGTATATATAAGGGGTAGTAGATAATTATCTAAAGAAAGAAATACGCGAGTAAAGATAGGAAAGAGCTAAATAAGTAGCTTATAAGTAAAGGGAGGAATAAATAATATAAAGGGAAGGGATTATAGTAAAGGAGAAAAGTTCCGTTAATAGTTTATTTACTTACTTACTTACTTATATGCTTAGGAAGAGAGCCTTACTTATTATTATCGCGCCCTTTCCGTTAGTATCTTAGTTTAGAAAGTCGCTAAGGAGGAGTTTAATAGGTAAGATCGTACCCCTATAGATATTAGCCCGTTAAAGGGATAAGACCCCTAGCACCCCCCTTTTAACTTACTTCGAAGTATACTTAAAGGCTTTATAAAGACCTTAATTATCTAATTAGGTATCTTCCTTAATTATAGTTAATTTAAATTTTTGTTTTTCCCCTTTAAAGTAAAGGCCGCTAGTTACGCGACTCTAGTAGAGATAAAGAGGCATAAAGTAAAGAAATCTCTAAGACTTATATCTATAACCTAAGGCCCTTAGAGCTATATATAGGACCGATAATTAGATAATTACGTAGTTAATTACTCTACTAATCCTTAGCTACGTGCTACGCGTGCTTTAAGTATATACCCTCGTCCCTATTAAAATAAGTTTATAGCGCTTTTAATAGGATAAGATATAGATCCTACTCTTTAATATCTACTCTTATTAGCTAGTCTTAATCCCTTTAAGAAAACGCGTTTAAGATAATAAAGTCCCGCTTAAGCTAGTACTTAATTAAGAAGTTAAAGTATAAGAGATACTTTACCTAGCGGGCTTACTACTTTAAGAGGTACTAGTAGGTTATAAAGTACTTAAGGTTCCTATAGTCTATAAGAACCTTAAAGCTCTTATAACTTTAAAGCTCTACTTACTATTACTTAAGGTAGCTAATAATTATTAATATCTCCTTATTATAAATAGTATAATTTTACTTTACTAAGGTTAGCTTATAAGAGTAGAACGCTATTAGTTACTTTTACTTATTTACCTTATAAAAAAGCATCCTTTTAAGCGCTTAGCCGCTATAGTTTACTTTAACTAATATAAACTAGTTAAAGTCTTACTAAAGTAGTACTAAGGCTAATAAGAATAGGTCCTAAAGTATATAAAACGCTCCCTCTTATATAGGCCCTTAATAGAAGGTAGTCCTCTTTTTAATAATATCGTTTAAGGGTATTATAATATAAGAGAAGCCCTTAATAAAAATCTTTTAATAGTTTATAAACCTTAGGAAGCTTTATATGCTAATTTATTATAAGAATATACCTTTATATTCCTATTTTACTATTATAAAGAAATAATAGGTATAGGGAGGCTCTATAAAATAAGCTAGTAAAAAGAGGGTTTATAATATAGTCTAAGGGAATAATACTTAAAGATAAAGACCTCTACTAGATATCTATACCTTCCTTTAAGAAAGGCGGGTTAAGATAAGCCTATCCTAGTAAAATAAAATATATATAAAAAATATAAGTTAATTACGAGTAAAACGGATACCCTATTACCTATTTTAGCTTAGCGGTTCTAAAGATATCTATAATATAGGAATAGGTAGGGCATAGAATATTCTAGTTAAATCTATTACTTATACTAGAACCTATAGTCTTACGTTAACTATTACG